GAGCCGCAGCGCCCGCCAAGGGGTGGTTTTCAAACTGTGTTCCGCAGAGGCTTTCTGGGGGCCTTTGAGCTCCATATCAGAGTACTAGTCTAGAAACACGGTTGCCTCCTGTGAAACTTGTAACAGAAAATGAGCCAGCACAGACGTGCAGCCACGGAGACGCACGTAGTCCGGCCTGCGCGGGCCTCGTGCAGGCCTTGCAGTAGGTCTGGGCACATCTGGACCTTCAGTGTTGAAACGCGTCTTCCATTGGGAAGACTGGAGCTCTCTCCAGGCATCTTGGTTAGGCTCAGGCTTCCAGACATTTACGTAAAACCGCGCAGGTAAGTGCACTCTGGAGCTTTCTATGGTAAGGGGCGGAGCTACGTGGATGATCATGAGACGATCATAAACCATGGCTGGGCGCCCTCTCTGACTTGTGCTTTGTAGGAAGAAGGGAGTCAAGTAGCTGCTTAGTGCTGTCTGTGATGCAAACCCAAATCCCTTTCTCCTCCCCAAATGCCCAGGCCTCCCTGAGCTGAAGACCATGCCGTGGCTCCAAGGCAAGCTGGGCAAACCCTGCCTCCATGCACATCCTCGTCTGGGCGTAAGGTGGGCGTCCTTATGCCACACGGCAGGGCCAACCAAGCAGGGAGGCAAAAGGAAATGGGGGAACTGGGCGTTTAGTCTGCTGTGTAAGATGCCTGTGTCTCGGGGGCCGGCGCTGTGGCGTAGCACATAAAGCTGTAGCCTGCAGTGCAGGCATCCCATATGGGTGCTGGTTCGAGTCCTGGCTGCTCCACTTCTGATCCAGCTCTCTGCTATGGCCTGGGAAACCAGTAGAAGACGGCCCAAGTCCTTAGGCCCCTGCACCCATGTGGGAGACCCGGAAGAAGCTCCTGGCTCCTGGCTTTGGATCAGCGCAGCTCCGGCTGTTGTGGCCAATTGGGGAGTGAACCAGCAGATGGAAGACCTCTCTCTCTTTCTCTTTCTCTCTCTCTCCCCCTCCCTCCCTCCCTTTCTGTTTTTTTTTTCTCTCTTTCTCGCTCTCTCTCTACCTCTCCTCTCTCTGTGTAACTCTGACTTTCAAATAAAATAAATAATTCTTTTTAAAAAAATGCCTGCATCTCACATACGAGTGTCTGGGTTTCATTCCTGGCTCCGGCTCCTCACTCCAGCTTCTGGGAGACAGTGGTGATGACTCAAATGATTTGGGTTCTTGACACTCGTGTGGAAAACCTGGATGGAGTTCCTGGCTCCCAGCAAGCCAATCAGAAACCTGGGGAGTGCACCAGTGGATGGGGACTCTCTCTCTCTGTTTCTCTTTCTGCTCTCTCTCTCTCCCCCTCTCTCCTTACCTTGTCTCTAGGTCTCTGTCTCTGCCTCTCCAATAAATGCATTTTTAGAAAAGGGATGTTGGATGCTGCAGTTGATACAGCAACACAATGATGGCCCAGGACAGAGGTCAGTGAAGTTTCCCTGTGAAGGACCACACACTAGGCAGCTGGGATTTGCACCACAGATGGCCTGAAGCAGCCATAGCTAATGTGAAAACAAATGTCCCAATAAAACTTTATTTAAAAAAATCAGGCAATAACCAAGATTGGGCTGTAGCTTGCGAATCCCTGATCTAGAATTTCAAATTTTAATGTTTTTGCGCATCAAAGTAGAGTTTTTGCTCTGCTGACAGACGCTCACAATACGCAGATGTTAGGAATGTGAATTTCAAAAACAAACACGTAAGCCATCAACTGGGAGCTCAGCCTGTGAGACACTGGCATTCCACGTGAGATGCGACTTTGTGAAAGGGCACCTGGGAAGATGTCACAGTTTAAAAACTACCTCGTGGAGGGCTTCGCTGCTACAAAACGCCCCCACAGCCTGTTTCAAATTCGATTTGTTCTCTATGTCCCTCATTTAGAAGCCACATTTGCTCCCAGTGAGCCCTGGTTCAGCCCCTTCTGAACACACACATTGGCTGCACGTTTCCTTGTCCTCCCGTGGCCCTGTGGGGAGCACACTCACAGCAGCCTCAGCTGCACCCACGCCTTTCCCCAGCACAGGGGAGTCTGCTGTGCACACACCCGTGGCCCAGAGGCTGTGCCCTCTGCCTCGGGGCTGGCGCTGTGATGCAGTGGCTTCAGCTGCCACCTGCAATGCTGGCACCCCATATTGGAGCATTGCTCCGCTTCTGATCCAGCTCCCTGCTAATGCGCCAGGGAAGGCAGTGGGTGATAGTCCAAGTATGTGGGTCCCTGCCACCCACATGGAGAGACCCATATGGAGTTCCTGGCTCCTGGCTTCAGCTTGGCCCCGCCCTGCCCATTGTGGCAAATTGAGGAGTGAACCAGCAGATGGAAGATCACTCTCCTTTCTCTGTAGTTGCCTTTCAAATACATAAATAAATAAATCTTAAGGAAAAGAAGAAACCTAACATAATGTCAGCTTGCCTGAGAGAGGTCGTGCCAGCCGCAGCCATGATACTGGAAACCCCAGCATGCCACGAGTCCCCAGGGAGAGCCCAGTGATTTCCTGCCGGAGCTGACGGCTCACTCCCTGCTGGGCAAGGCCCCTGCTCTGTGGCCAACAGAGCCCACACGGACAAAAAGAGTTTGGGGATGAACTTGGGGAGGGCGAATGCCAGGTCAGGGAGGCTCCTCCGCCTGCCTGCCCGAGGACGGGTCCCCGGAACTCTCCCTGTGCCCCTTGGAGGGTTCTGTTTCTGCACTAGTTCAAATGCATGTTGCACAGACCCTGCCCCGAGAACTACTGTGACTTGCTCAGAAAGAAAGAAACGGTAACTCGAGGGGCCAGGAGCTGTCCCAGGAGGCCCCAGAAGGGGACCATCCTTGTTGGCTCTGATTTCTATCATGGTGTGGGTAATCTGGGGGAGGGCTCAGCCATGGAGCTCCAACTGCCTTTCCTCAGGAAGTACATGTATGCACACACACACACACATGCACACACACACAGACACACACATGCACACACACACGATATACACACATGCACAGACACGCACACATGCACACACAGACACACATGCACAGACACACATGCACACACAGAGACACACACATGCATGCACACACGCAAACACACACGCACACATGCACAGACACACACAGACACACAGACAGACACACCCTAAGTGCTAGATATTTTGCAGCCAGGGGTTCTACTCCTTACCAGCTGTGTGACTGCCTTTAATTTGTTGCCCCTCTCTGTGCTGTTTCCTAATCTGTACAAAAGAGGCCCTGGGGTCCGCCTCCCTGGGATCTGCAGCACTGGGATTTGTCTGTAGAGTGCCAGGCCCCTGTGCAGCAGCCAGGGCTGGCTCCTTTGCTTCCTCCTGCTCCTGGGAGCTCAGAGCTGGGACTACATGGCAGAGTGTGACTTCGGTGGGCTGCACCTGGGTGCTGGGTGTCTGGCGATGTTCTAGGGGCCTTCACAGCACCCCTGTTGTCTCTGATGAGCGAGAAGCAGAGGCAGAGAGACAAGCAACCTGCTCCACACCCTGGCACATGCCTCACAAACCCGGCTCAGGTCAGAGCTAGGATCGGGACCAGCCCACATCATTAAGCACCACATCTTCCCTTGGAATGAGACCCAAATGCCAACTTTTGCCCTGGAGTCCAGAGAATGATCCCTCCACCCCCCAGGAGGGTCCCGGTCAAGGCCAGGGTCTGGCAGGCCCAGGTGGTGCTGCTGAGCTGTGGGCAGTCCAGGCAGCTCCAAGACCACCTCTGAGCGGGTGCTTGGCGTCCCTCTCTCTGCACAGTGAAGTTCCCTTTGGAAGTCATAGCCAAGCCTACCCACATGCAGGGCACGATGGATGTTTCGACTCTAAGTCTCGTCTGTGTCATTACCAAAATTCATATTCCCGGGCCCTTACCCTCAAGGCTGACTCAAGGGCACAGGTGGGCCAAGGAATCACCATTTCTGTTGCTATTGTTTAAAAGCAGGCACCCCCGGCTGCCTCCACCCCTCCAGCTCCCGCCGTGTCGGGATGCATGTGGCACCAGACGAAACGCCAAGCATGGAGTCCCGATCTGACTAGAGCTCCTCGCACCACACCCCTCACCTGCACTGCAGCCCGAACATGAAGCTGAAGCCACCACACACGCCAAGAGCTAGGTGGGTACAGAAGTACACCCCGCTGCTGGGCCCCAGTCCTCCCTCCTCCATGGGACTTCCTGAAACTCCCCAGGTGATTTGAACTCGCGGCCAGGGTTCACAGCCGCTGCCCTGACGCAGTGTCCCTTCTACTCCTCACAGCGGGGAAGGGGACCCTGGGTGGCTGTGGCTCTGCTGGAGCAGCTGCTGTGCTGTCCCGGCAGGCAGTGGGAGTGGGCAGGGGTCTTCAGATAAGAACTGTCATGGTGGGGAGGCAAGGGGGGGAGGAGAGAGGACAGCGAGCTCTGCAAAGCCGAGAGCCGTGCTGGGCTGGAGCCTGGGGAGGCTGGGTCCTTGCACAGGCATTGCTCTGTCCTTTGCTGGGGACAGAATGGAAACTGAAGAAGTGGGGCAGTGGGACCCAGAATTTCAGGAGACCTAGCATGGGGAGCAGTGACAGAGCGCTGCCACTCAAGGGTTCTGCTCCTGACCGAGGCTGCCCCCAGGACTTCCAGGACAGCTTCCACAGAGGCTCGCGGAAAGCAATCATCACCATCACCATCACCATCACCACCATAATCACTACCATCACCATTATCACCATCATCACCATCACCATCATCACCACCACCATCACCACTGTCATCACCATCACCATCATCACCACCATCATCACCATCACCACCACCATCACCATCACCATCATCACCACCATCATCACCACCACCATCACCATCATCACCACCATCATCACCATCACCACCACCACCGTCATCACCATCATCACCACCATCATCACCATCACCACCACCATCATCACCACCACCATCATCATCACTGCAATAATGCTTTTTTAACATAAGAAGCAAACTGAGGCAGGCGTGCTCAGACAGCCCGCTTCTTACCTGTGCTGCAGGCACCACTTCCGGTGACCAAAACTAAAACGCTGTTCTCTCTGGAAACCAGCGTTCATGTCCACTCCTGCTGCAGCCGCCGTCCTCTTCCACGCCGCTCTTCCCCCTGGAGGGGACGGCTTGCCTGGCTGGGAGCTCTGGAGGCTCCTCCATGGACTAGTTCAAGGCCGCTGGGTCTGCGCACGAATCCTGCAGGGGATGGTCAAAAGCTGTGGTCACAGAGCTTTCCTGGCCAACTCCTTCCGAGGCACAACAATCTTGACCTGGTCCCAGGAGGCCCATACCCCCAGGTCCTCCCCGGACGAGGGCCCTGGTGCCACCACCACCTTCTACCTTGCGCCCACCATTGAACTCCTTTGAGCCTGTTTCTGCAGCAGCATAGGGGCCGGTTTCTCAGAGGGCCCCCAGGTTTCCTGCTGCCCTAGTGTACAGGTCCTGGTGATCCCTAGGACTGCGAGCACTGGGGAAGCCGAGTTGATGCTGGAGGGCCTAGTGGACCAGGTCCACTAGGTCCAGGCCAGGCCTAGCCGTGAAGGCCCTTTAAGAGCAGAGTCATCTCTGGCTGGTTCCAGGAGAGGAAGTTGGGCAGATGAGAGCCCAGAAGGGCCTCGGCATGCTCTGGCTGGCTTGAAGGAGGAGGGGGCCATATGGAAGGGACTGGGGGCAGCCATGAGAAGCAGGCAACCCCGCAGCTAACAAGCAGCGAGGGGCCCGGCCCTCAGTACAGCAGCCGCAGAGAACTGACAGTGCCAAGGATGTGACTGAGCCGGGCAGGGGGCGGCACTTCCACAGGCCCCCCCCCACCCCGGGAGAAGGCAGCCCATGGACACTGGGCAAGGCAGCTGGCCCCTCCAGAACCAATGCCTGCCTTCTAGAACTCTGTGCTAATAAATGGGTCTTGTCTTGAGTACCGAATTTGAAGTAACCTGCCACACAGCGAGAGAAAACGGCCGTGACCTGTAAAAGCGACTCACACTCAGAAATACCATTGCAGATTCAAGGCTCACGGGGTCCCCAAGGCACTAACCGCGGAGCCCCTGGGGCCGAGGGCAGCCTGGGCACACGGTGGGACCGCGGCAGCCGAGACTCAGAGGCTGGATGCGTGAGTCACAGGGTTTTTATTTTTGCAAGTCACATATTAACATTTTTATCTAAAGATACAGCTCCATATACAGACAAACATAAGGACTTCAGGGTTTTTAGCAATTCTCCCCAAATCAGGAACAGGTAGGGGCCGGCGGTCTGGCGTAGCTGGTTAACCCACCACCTGCAGCACCAGCATCCCATATGGGAGCCAGTTCGAGTCCCTGCTGCTCCACTTCCGATCCAGCTCCCTGATAATGCACCTGGGAAAGCAGCTGAAGATGGCCCAAGTGCTTGGGCTCTTGCCACCCACACGGGCAATCCAGATGTAGCTCCTAGCTCCTGGCTTCAGCCTGGCCCAGCCCTGGCCACAGCAGCCATTTGTGGAGTGAACCGATGGATGGAAGATCTCTCTCTCTCTCTTTCTCCCTCTCTCTCTCTGTAACTCCGCCTTTCAAGTAAATTTTTTAAAAATTAAAAAAGGACAGGTAAATATTTAGTACTTAAAAGAAATAACCAGTTAGAACTCAAAATGTTTGACAAATGAGTCCCCACTGAAAAACCTACCAGGTGGTGTGTTTTATAGAAATGACACTTGTATTTTCACTAAAAATAAAGTTTGCTGTCGAATCTGTTTTAATTTTTAAAAATATTTTTATTTGTAATCGACATGTAATGATTGTGCATATTTAGGGGCACAGGGCTTTGCTGCGGGACACGCACACAGAGCATCACCATCAGGGCAGGGTGACCAGCACATCCACCATCCCAGACCCTTCCCATATTCCCCTGTTGGGAGCATTCAAAATGCTCTTTTTAAAAAAATTTTGTAAAGATTTATTTATTTATTTATTTATTTATTTATTTATTTATTATTTAAAAGGCAAAGTTACAAAGAGGCAGAGGCAGAGAAAGAGAGGTTTTCCACCCACTGGTTCACTTCCCAAATGGATGCAAGGGCCGAAGCTGGGCCCATCCGAAGCCGGGAGCCAGGAGCTTCTTCCAGGTCTCCCACATAGGTGCAGGGACCCAAGGACCTGGGCCATCTCCTACTGCCTTCCCAGGCCATAGCAGAGAGCTGGATTAGAAGTGGAAGAGCTGAGACTTGAACTGGTACCCATTCGTCATGCAGCGGCTTTACCCGCTACACCACAGCAACAGCCCCCAAGACGCTCTGGAGTGTGGGTTTTTCATCATTGACTCGCCAGGCTATTGTAAGGATGCGATAAGAAAATCACAGAGGAAAGTGCTTCACCAGGCAGGAAGCCAAACTTTGAGCCAGTCCTGCATGGCATGTCACACCCACATGCCATGGCTGGCCTGCACCAGGCAGTGTGGTACAGTGGTGCAGTGGCTGAGAGCGTGGCTGCTGGAGTCAGGATACCTGGGTGCAAGTCCTGCTACTTGTGACCTCTGTGGCTTTGCAGAGTTCCTACACCTGGAAAAGGGATCTTAGACTGGCAAGGGCCTCCCAGGGTTTGAACGAGTCAGCGCCTGGGGCAGTGCCTGGCCTGGGGGCGACCTGCATGGTGGCCATGGCTGTCATCCTGGGGTGGAACTCAATAACCTGGTCTGGAGCAACTGCGCCCAGGCCTGGGGCAATGTCGCACTTCTCTTCCTGGGCACCGGGCTTCCCACTGCACACCCGTGCAACAGCCAGTGCTTGGCAACCACACGGTGCTGCTGATTCCTACAGAGCAGACAGGCTGTCACCTCCTGAATCCAGCCAGCCCCACAGCCACCACACAGTGGTCTATCCTTCCTGACTCAGCTGTCCAATCCACCCGAGTGGTCCCTGGTCCCCAGTTTCCCATCACCCCCAGGGCTGATTTTCTGCCTTCCAGGGGATGTCAGCTATTGATAGGCATGGTGGGGCTGATTTTTCTCAACACGTACTCTACGAACTCAGGCCACTCTGAGCGTTTGCTGTGCCTCTCTTAAGGCCCATGCCAGTGCCAGCCACGCGCAGAGATGTGGCGAACTGCAAGGCCTTCTGGAATGCATGCAGCTCGGGCTGGGTCAGCCTGACTCCCCCACCCATCCACAGTGGGTACAGAACCTGCTCTGACTCACTTACTCCACAGGTGTGAACTCAGTGCCCTGTGGGGCCAGACACCCACCACCCACAATCAAAGGTGGCCAATCAAAGTGGCCAAGCTTGCTCTCTGCCTCCAAGAGGCTCGAAGTGGGCAGTCAATTCCAATGGTGTCTGAATGTGGGGCGGGGGTGGGGGATGAGAGGGGATATTTCCAACAAAGGGAGTAGGGTAAGAAAAGACGGAACCTCCCCCCACCCCAAAGTGGCTGGAATATTCAAGAACAGCATGGGTAGTGGGAGGGGCGGGCAGGAACAAGCGTGCGAAAGTCTGTGAGAGGTGGGAGCCCGTGCAGGCAGTGGTCAGACGTAGCAGACAGGCTCCATGCAGTGGCCACAGGAGCAAGGCCGGCATCACCTGAGCACCCCGGGCTCTGGGTGCCCTGAGTGACAGGTGAGAGGGCTGCCCCACCACACCTGCATCCCAGTCACCCGAGAATGCCACACACACACACACACACACACACACACACACCCCTGAGCTCCGACATGGCAAACTGAGCCCCTTGGTTTACCTCTTCTCCCCCAAACGTCGCTGAAATAAAGATGGAAGTAGCGAATAAGAACAGATGCCAGGTAGCCCCAGCTGGCCAGAACGCCTGGAGAAATACAGGTGGGTGGGAGAGACAGAGCATCTAACCAGAGTTAGGCTGACTTCACCACACCCGGGCAGGTAGGGCCCACCTGCTGAATGCCCGGAAACTCTTGGGCCAGGGCAGGCCAGGAGCAATTCCTCAAATCCAAAAAAAAAGCGTGAATGCTCACAGCTTTCAAAGAGGCCGAGGTTGGGGTGGTGGGAGGTACTAGGACCCCCACCTCTGATGGCCTTCCACTGTGTGACTTTCCTGTTTCAGCAGACTCAAGCCCCGGAACCAGCTTGCTTGCTCCTTTTAGAAACTTCCTGAACTCCTCAATCAACAGTTTGTGTCCTAAGACTCTCCGAATCTGCCTGGCCTCTAAATCCCTCCTTTCACTGCTTCTGCCAGTCCTGGGCTAAGGTCTTATGTTCCTTGCACCAGCCCCAAGCCCCACACCGATGAGATGCAAAGGAAACTTCCAGTCCCCAGCAAAACCTACCTGCCCCCTCCTCCCGGACCTCTGTGGAGGTGGCTCTCTCCCTCCCCAGGTGAGCGGGAAAGTCTCCTTGCCTTACTGACAAACTGTGTTGATGTCACCCAGGAGCTGTGTTGGACAGGCAGTCTCTGCACACATGTGCAGAATCAAACCGACAGTGGACTTGACACCTGCATGGTTAACTGCTGGAGGGCCACAGAGCTCTGAACACAAAGGGTTAAACCCCTGGGATCTGTTACTCAGCCAAGTTGCAGAGCCAAAGAGAGAAGTATGAAAATAGCAGCCGCCCACTTATCTCTTCCTAAAAAAATTACTCAAGGGATTACTCCAACAAAATAAAAATGGCACCAAATAAGCAACCCGAGAAAGGGCAAGACAGGATACACCAGAAACAGTGAGGAATAAGCAAAGGAGAAAAGGGTACAGGGAAAGCTAAGCAAATGTCCAAAATTCCCGCCTTGTAGGGAAATAGGCACCACTGGATTCTTGTTAGTGGGGGGGGGGGGGGGGACAGACACATATAAATTCCAGATAACCTTTTCCAAGAGGAAAATACAACGCAGATCCTTTGAACCACTGTGTGGTGGGGAAGGAGGTTATGAAAGAAGGGGAGGTTAACCAAAGATGGGAAAGGAAATAATAGGTAGGAAAGAAAAGCAGGCAAAGCAACAAAGACATAGAACAAGACGACTGAAGTAAGACCCAAAGTATTCATGAATACAATAATGTGAATACATTAAATCGCCTATTTTATGTGAAGAGACCAGGCTGGGTCAGAGGAAAGAGTTCAGCCACATGCTGTGTGGGAGTAAAACTTAAAAAAAGGTGGAAATCAACAAAATGAAAATAAATGACAAAGGTCATGTGGGAAGTCACTCTTCATCTCCGGCAAAAGGCGAACATGTTAAATAGAGGAGGGGCCTTTGTGCCGTTGGGGG